TATAACCCTAATATAGTAATAAACAAAAGGAGGAAAGATAGGGTGTGTCAGACGGTTCATTGTAGATTGGAACTTGTAAAGCACCAGTACAATTATATAGCTCCACTCCTTTATAATAAAATAAATAAAGAATTAAATATTTATTCCTTAAATAGTTATCACTGTAAGAAAAAAATAACAGAGTGGCTTCTCAAGCTTGAATACGATATGGTTGAGTCTTTGATTAAATAATACTAAAAAAAAAATATATACATCAGCCTGATTCCTTCCTTACATTGAACATAAACACACACACACACACACACACACACACACACACACACACACACACACACACACACATGTTGGTTTTCTTTTGTTATTGTAAGTTCATCTCATATTCAATTCATGTAGGTATTCAGTTAAAGCTAAATAAGTATTAAGTTATTTATTAGTAACCTAAATTGTTTATTTATAGCGTCTGTATTAGAGGAAGGCGCTAATGACTGCGACACAGTCTTTGACTACTGCAGTCATTAACGTTTCATTTTGTCTATGCACAATTGTAATTGGCTACAAATAAAGTTTTTATTATTTATTTATTATTTATTTATTATTTACTCAGATCTTGCGTATCGGCTTTAAGACTATATAATTCATACATTTTATTTCTACTCTTGTGAATGCCAAATGCCTTGTGAATAATTTAATTCAGTTTCCATTTTGCCGAATAGGCGTGATTGACAATATGCGTGACAGTTGTGGTGACAGTGACAACCTTCACGCGCAGTGATCGCCATCGCGGTCGCGGCAGTGTGAAACAACTTTTGCACGCGCAGTGGTCGCCATCGCCATCGCCATCGCTGCACGCGTTGGTTTGTCCGAACCTTAATTAGTAACATACATAGGTATTTAAGAGTTTAGTATTTGCAAGTAAACATGGCATACAAAAGCCAGAATAATTCAATAATGTTTCAACATGTTTATTTAGTCGAAGACTTGGGCATGATATTATGTTTTATTCAAAGTTGGAAGACAAATCATAGACTAAGTAATGAATGACTACTAATATCACAAAGGTAACTAAGTTTTCTCGGTTACTTCTTCTCAACATCAGCTCATATAATAAAAAGGTTGTAGGCACGCTAAATCAGGAACGTGTTAGTAAATGTCCTTATAAGGGCTTACATACAAGGTCTAGCATTTGACTCAGTCGGTACCTGAGGTATGGCCGCGGCACGGCAGGGGTGACATTGACATAATATGACGTGACAAAGTATACAAATCCGAAGCATATTTGAAGTCTCGCTGACGTTTGAGGTATTATGTATATACTAACTGTGTTGTCTTATCTGTGCCGTTGTGTTTGTCTGTTTTAGGTGTGTACGCTAGACTGTACCTAATAGCACTCAACCCCAAGGTTTATAACTTCATATACCGTGTAATGGCTATGCTCACGTGACATTGGCAAACGTGGAAACACAGGGGACACAGTGGGAGTCTTTAAGGCCACCTTCTATCAACGGGAGCGCGTAGTAAGTAACTTGCTTCTGAATGTATTGTAACTTCCTACTTTTTTATATTTTTAAACCGGCATACAGTGGTGACTGAGTTTGTTGCGGCGCTTCTTCTCAGCACTTGCCAAATGTTTGTCTCGAAGCGCTGGTAGGGCAAAAAAATAATGAGACATGACGTATAGGCTCCTTAAGAGCATTTGACGATTTGCAAGTACTAATTTAATTAGTCTAAACAAATAAAGATAATTTTGATTTGATTGATTGATTCCCAATAGCCCTAGAGGAGAAGAAGAAGTCTCGGTGACGTTTGAGGTCCCAAAAACACCCTCTCGTGCTGCTCCCATAACCTCAGGCACTCACTAAGTAAGCGTTAGATCTATAAATAAGTAATTGGTAATTGAGTATCGTCTGGCATATGTCGCGGGGCATTCATCTCTCGTGAATACGGTGCCTAAGTGACCACGACGCTCCTCAGCCATTCTTGCCAACCGCTGCCAACAATTAAGCATATACTTTGTCACATCCGGCTCAAAGTCACATTCCGCTGCGTTGCCAAGTGCCAGTGCAATAAAGTCATTTCCAATTCTTTGCTTGCAAGAAATTATACTCGTATTGCTCCTTGAGTTACTTTAAATTAGTTAGTCATTTTGATAGTGATATGCATTCCTACGATCCCTTTTTCTACAGGGTGTTAGGTAAATGGGTATATGAGCCGACACTCTCAGAATACAGAACAAACCAGAAGGAGTGTTCGATAACATTTCTACGCGGCAACTTGTGTCCAAAATACTTCCCCTCCCGCGCCCCTCTACCCCCTTTAGTGTTACTAGCGCCGTGTGACACCGTGTGTTAAACAAGTAAAAAATAAGTAAGTGAAATAAGTACACACGGCCACAGTGTTAACTATCCATTTCCGTTTTTGCTCTCGCTCTTATCAAATGGTGATTCTTTGCGATAGAACGAGACGACATGACTGGCCATAGGCATAAATAGTACCTACCTACCTATGAATTTAATTTTTACTCCGAAGTAACTAAGTGTAGATGATTATTTATTTCTATTAAATAGTGTAATATACTATATGTAGGTATAATATGTTATTTAAAAGTCAATTACAAAAGTCGAATATAAATTTTAGAATGCCAAGTAAAACAAAAAAGAAACTTAAGGTTCTTTATTATGTAAACATATCGACAACAAAACATTTGTTTACGGCGCAGTAGTGCTTTTAGTTTAACTTTTCTTGGAGTCAAAAACAGAATCCAAATCAAAAACATCACCAATACTTGAATTTGATTGCGAGGCAACTCTGGCTGTGTATCCTGAAAACAGAGCAATAAATAACCTCACTTTTTGAATGTCTCCGTTTGACAGATCAATGCGTTGCGTTCCATTCTTTTAGTATAGAAGAAGTGTATAATGAAATTAAATATTCAACACTAAATTTTTATAAAACTTAATATTTAGGCTCTTTAATTTAAATTCTAGCTGTTTCTAGTATTTTCCTCAATGTTTATATTAAAATAACATTGTAATGTATCTTGATCGATCATGGGTTCGGAACGTTCTAGAAATTTGACATATTCTGAGCGAAACGAAACGCGCGGGAGACGGTCCGAATACTGTGAGTGACGTTTCTTCTGTTTCTAAAAGTTAAATAAATTAATTAAATTTAAATCGGAGGAGCAGTTTTGTGAGTTCTCATATCAAAATTATTCAATAAGAGGCTGGTTGACTCAAATAGAACTTATTAGAAATAGAAATAAAAAATAAAAATGAAGAAACATTTTTATTGTTTGTTATTGTTGGGTTTGATTCGGACCACAAGTCACAGGTGATGACCGGCGCTTTTTGGAGTGTCCTTTCCTTTTGCTTGGTTGTCCGTGCTCGCGAGTGGAAGTTCCGTTGTGCGTGGTGTCCTAGTGTCCCGATTCCAAGAGGTCTGAACCGTGCCGATTCCCAAATAAACGGGCAGGGCACGCATCGTCATCCTCAGCGAAAATAAGGGAATTCAGAAATAAATCCGAAAGCCCCGTAATTTTGCGGACCCACTGCCACGTGCTACGCTTAGACCCACACTTAATCGAGGTAAGCAGGTGCTATCCCAAGGATCACCTAGGATTTCTCCTTGTTATTTTCTTGTTTGCATTAGCGGCATTGTTAACCAATGCGCGTGGTTGTTATTCACAGATTTTGGTTGGGCAGTGCTCGGTGGCGAGCTCTGCGCTGTGTCCTGCTTTAGCGGCTGTCGCCGGATTTTTTCCTCCGTTGAAGGTATGTTGTAATTTCTTTCTCGACCTCATTCACCTCTCCGCTGAGTTAGGATGAATTAATAGAAACGTCCACCACGGTCCTGGGCTACCCTACTTCATAGGTTGGTTCCATTTTCTATTGAGCTTGTCAATTATTTTAGTTTACTTTGAAAAAGTAGATTACCCACGTAATGATTACATTTTACCAAAATGATAATTCCTAAATAAATTTACCATTGTGATGTATTATCGATGGATTTTGTTGTGTTAACTATTTTTAGTTCGCTTTGTGAAGGTAGATGATGTAATAATTACGATGATTACATTTTACCAAAATGTTACTTTCTAAATAGATTTACCATGGTAATGAATTACCGTTGGATTTTGCTGTGTTCACATTTGCTCCATCCTTGAGAGCGATGGATTGTTTTTTTGTGTGTCGTAGTAATTTAACTAAGCGAACACAAGTAAATTAATTTCTTTGTATTAATATGCCTATTACTACCTGTTTAAGCTGTAGGGTATTAATGCACCAGTGGTGCACTTACTGTAACGATATTTTTATAATATATTTTTTTTGTACACTAGGAGGTGTTTGGCACCGGCTGTCCCGCAGTGCCAGACGCTTGCTGCGCCCGACAGGTGCGGAGGGGGTTGAGCCGAGTGGTGGTGACTAGCGCGCTAATCCCGTATTATTAAGTATTTTTAATCCATACCAACCAAACGGCCCAACGACCCATCCCTTTTTTTTTCTTTTTTAAAATTTTTGTGTCTCACCCACAATAAATTGTTGTCAATTTAAATATCTATTTTTTTATTTTGCTCCGGCAAAAATTTCTTATTTACAACTAGCCCATGTTAACATGGTCATATAAATGGTATGGTGAAGTCAGAAAATTGATATCTTCATTTTAATTATTTTAATTTTCATACAAATCGGATATTATAAAATTTATTTTGTATGAAAATTAAAAATAATAAAATGATGATATCAAATTTCTGACTTCATCATACCATTTATATGACCATGTTAACATGGGCTAGTGTCGGCTCATATACCCATTTACCTAACACCCTGTATATGCTTCAAAAGTTTTCCAGGCTTAGGTAAGTACGTCCAGCAGTGGAACTGCTACAGGCAATGAGGAAGTATACTCTAATTCTTAGACAATAATGATGTTTTGAGAGAACATGGCAGGTATTTCATATTGGTTACGCGGGATGCAGTCTAGGGACACAACATGCCTAGGAAATGCCGTTTCACCTCGCCTTCAAGATCAGGAAAGACACCAGCAGCAATGTTATTGATATGTCAAAATCAAATGAATGTTTATCCATTTGCACGTCCAGAAATATCAGCACAAAGTATAGAAAAGCCCTGTATTTCTTAATGAATGGTAATCAACCGTCGTTGCTGGCGTTCGACGCTCGAGCCCCCTCAAACCACTCGATTGCCGCGGCCCTGGCAACTACTCCGTCAAAGGTCGAGTGGTTACTGCAAGTATGAAAGGAGACGAGTCAAGCGAAGTGATCGCACAACTTGTACAGATCTTGCAATGCATTAGATTTTTTCACAAAGGAGGTTTATACATGCTGTTAAGTTTCAACATATTTTATGGAAATCATACACATTATTCAGCTCTCCCCGACGCCAGCACATTTCACAAATACAAAAGCTATAAATTTTCAACAAAAACTCCCTCAAAAATCCGATCCCGACCGTCGACTCATTTTTAAACACGTTTCATATTCGCAGTGAAGGGTATCATTCGCAAAAACAATATATCAAGCGAACTTCAGCACCAGATGCGAGCGCTCCCACCGGTGTACCTTAACATCTGATGAACAGACGAACAAACGGAAGTGTCGCCAATTGAAATTCAACTGTAATTTGTTCGCTTAAGTTTGAATTTCGTGAAGCGACCGAGACAAAAGTTGTCAACTAAACAATATGGGGTGGCACCCTTCTAAAAGAAATCGTAATGGCTCTGATTATCGGCCGCTCCTAAATAATAAATGTTGGACAATGTGTGAACTGCCATTTGTACGCGGCCTTTGCCTGTCGACGCTTTTATTTACGAAGAGCTTTATCTTATAGTTTTTATTGTGCGCTTTTACGAGTACCTACTTGAATTCTATAATGTAAATAAATGCAGCAGGCTGAATTTATTTAAACAATATCGTTTAGATTATTTTAGCTATTAAGTTAATTTTATTGATATTTTATAATACCGTAGTTAAAAAAAATTGGTTGTCACAAATATCACTAAATACGACAAATTCGGCACACATGGTGACTATTTGTAAAATTTATTTCAGAAAGTACTTTACAACCTGACATTAGATACAAAAATATAGTATAGATAGACCCGAAAAAACTTAAGGACTTTGGAGAAAAAGCTATGGAAAGTAATTTTCTAAAGTAGAGTTTTTATATTCATGAATGTTATGAAAAAATATTTATTTTGTTTCAAGAACCGTCTCATGCAGGCTAGTACTTGCTACTAGTTCAGGTAACATTTCTGCTGCCCTCTACATTAGGACACCATAAGAGACAAAAGAAGTAGGTGTGTTAAATGTCCCGAAAATGTATTCCGTGTGCAATTTATGTACGGGCCATGTAAATAATGCACCGGGACGGCCAGCGCGGCGCACCTACATAATAATAATTTTCGCACCAAAAACGTTTCGTTTCGCTCTACGGCGGAATAAGTTTAGCGTGCAAGGAATAGCGCCATGTTTAATGTATGCGTGTAAACTTGTTTCTACCCACACAAAGCTTGGTTTGTTTTCTCCATTTATTAAGTTTATGATCAACTTTATTCGCTGTAAATCTAATACTGATCTTAACTTGCTAATGATTTTATGTAGTGATTTTTAGGAAACTTTTCAATTATGACTGAAAATGGCGTTCCGAACTCAATCTGCATTATTTCTCTTACTATTCCTATACACCACACATTAAACGTAATATGTACGATTGAAGAATTATAATCATACTATTCAAAAGTTCTATTCATTAAATAGAAGAAAACGTAGGTACCTAGCTTTAAATAGAGCTTGAGCTAGGACTTAACAAAATAGTTTGCCCAAATTAATCAAGGCTTAGCTGTTCATTAAAGGCAGCTGCAGCGACCGCGATCAAAGCCCTGCCGCCGACACGCCGGCTGATGGCCCTTTGATGTGCCGCTCACACCTTTGTTTCAGCCGCGGGTACTCGTACTTTTCCCTAAAAAGTTGCAGGAGACGAGATGTTGTGTAGGCACCTGTTTTTAAATTTTTTTGAGAACAAAAAATGAACTGAAACGAAAAAAAAAGGATTTTTCTTTTGTTTTATACAGGATTATTTGTAAACACTACAGGGAGTTAATTTCATTCTAATAGTTAATTCTGTCTAAAATTTGCCTTTGATTACATTTAAAGGTAGGTTTTTCATTGCAATCAAGTCAATGACTTAAATCATCCTCAAGCAAGGTATTTGACATAAGATTAACATAAATCTCGTCGTCTCAATCCATAAAGAATATTTTAAAATACCGTCATGCCTAAAACATCGTTTGCAACTTAAAATCCATTTGGAAAACAAATAGCCGTAAAAAATATCAAACGGAGCATTTGCAAACCGTTCGGAAACATCGCGTAAGCAAGACAAACGATTGAACGGGGTCAGGGTACACGCTCGCGTTGCTGTCTACGGCTTAGATGCTCTTAAATGTAATATTAGGTTCTACGAAATAAATATATTGGAATAGGTCTATTTCTTGTGCTATAGTTGCCTCACGCTGTGAGGTTTCAGTATTCATACTATTATAAAGTAGCATTATAATTATTAAGCTCGTAGTGGCTTCTGTCTTTGGTTGGTGGCATACCTACATTTAGGATTTCTACTGCCACAAAGCTTGCACTAGCCAAAAAACTTAAAAATTAACCAAAAGGAACAATGATTAAACTTTCAGTTTTACGATCGATACAACGCGATTTCATTCTCGGACTTATTTTTAGTAATTTTATTTTGCTTCTTTAGAAAAAGTAATTTGTTTTGAGAGGCAACCTAAAATGTAACTAGATTGCCACTGTAAAAAGCGTTATATCTTCCAACCGTAACGAGAAGAGAAATCGTAGCAAAACCGGCGACCGGCGCCGGCGGCTGATAGTGACGCCCGCCGGCACAAACAGCGCCGGTTTTTGTCGCCTCGTGTCAGCCTTTGTGGCAATGGCCGAATACCCAATATTGGGTACATTCACAATTGAATGCAAGTTTAGTTTTTATCTAGTCAAAATGGTAAGTTAAATATGAGTAAGTTATGTGAAATGTATTAGATAAAGTATGAAGTACCTATTCGTGATACCTTAATAATTCTGTTAATATTAAAAAATCTAGCAATAAATATACGAGTACATGTAGGAAGTGGGAGTTCTACAGTAAATAACACTGGAGTAAATGTGATAACTGGATATATTTCTCTTCAATAGAATAGTATTACACGTCTTTTACTATAATAATTACACATTTCGTTCGTCTTCCGTCTTACGTCTTTCGTCTTACGACGTCCACCACACACTCTCTGCCTAACAACAGACTCCTCATTTAAACTACTATTCTCACTCTCAATTCTCGTTCCTCATTCATCCCTTCCATTCCCTCCATAGACCAATCATTCCTCATCATTCAGCGTTCAAATCATAAACTATCTTTCATACGTCATCCTACTATTCCGTTACACACAAAACTCGTTAAGCCTACATACATAGGTAATGTTTTACGTAAGTACTTCATCTAAAACACTGGTCAGTAGGACGTAGGTATCTTTCTACGAAAATAGACCCGAAAATTAATAATATAGCAGTGTGGCTATCGCATATCAACACAGTAATTGTACCTAACTCTAGGCTGTGTTTTCATTAGTATCCAGCACGCCTCTACTTGAAGGATTTCTTTTCAATTAATCATCGCTCGAGAACCAGGCCCATTTTGTTGCCACTTCGGCCTCGTTTTCCATTTTCCTATCTCACCTTGTTTTTCGTTACCTTGTAAACCTAAAGCTTCAAAGCTGTTATTTATTTAATTTGTTACTAACTCAGTTTGCGTAAATTTACGCCCGCATTCACAAACATTACTGAGGTCTCAGAGTGTGCGTGGACGCCAATCACAGAGCTCTATTCAACGCTGTGCGTTCGACTTCCTGCTTCACTTAAGCAAGCATCTTTTGTGAATACAGACGTTAGTTTTAGTATGCATGTTTGTATACTGTTACTTATTATGTAAGGAGGATTCCACACATCGGTCTGACGCGCTCATTCCTTTCGTTCGTCCATTAATCTTGCGAGATGCGCTCGCACTCACACTCTCGTAATTAATTATCCTTCGATCTAACACCGCTCATGCATTTTTTATTTTAGTTTCCGTTACTGATTGAAGAGCTTGCTACAGCAAGTTTACCTACTTCAAAAATGACGTGAGACCTCGCTGCCGTCGATAGTGTCACACACAAACAAACGATGCTTAAGTGAAGCAGCAACGCTATGCGAAGTCGAACGCTCAGCGATGATAGAGCTTTGTGATTGGTTCGTGTGTGTCACTCCGCCACTCAAGTACGTCCACTGTGCGTCCACGCGCACTGTGAGATCTCATAGTAATGTTTTTGAATACGGGTGATAGTTTTGTATGCAAGCTGCAAGCAAGCGTTTAGTGTACACCAAGGGTTTAGAGACGAATACGAGTATACAGGGTGGAATTTTGTAATGCCACCTGGAGGGAAAGTACTCTTAATACAGTAGATAGAAAATTTTACTCAAAGGAAACATTCGTTTATTTCTGAAAAGAAATAGAACTGCATTCAAAGATTTTCAAAAATTTGCTTGCCATACCCAGGAATCGAACCAACTAAAATCTGTTAAAAATTACAGCCTGTATTTTTATTGCATCGATCGTTAGGGTGAGGTTTAAGGATGAAATCTCTCTAACAAACTTGATTATTCAAGTGAAAGGAAAACCATGAAATCTTACATTATTTTAACTATTTACAGAAAATTGTATGGCATGGTAGAGAATTTTCGAAAAATTTTCGGAAATCTTTGAATGCAGTTCTATTTCTTTTAAAAAATAAAGGAATGTTTTCTTTGAGTAGAATTTTCTATCTGCATTATTAAGAGTACTTTTCCTCCAGGTCACATTACAAAATTCCACTCTGTATAAAGCAATAACACCGTGGATATTATGCCTCATTCGTAGTTATTACTAGTAGGAAGTTAAGTATGGTTTATTATTTCATCGCAAATGTTGAAACTTCATTAACTTTTAAAGGCTGTTTTCCCCAAGCGCAGTCTGCGAACCGTCAGCCATTTATAACTCCCGCTAAACAATCATCGACTTTCAATGGGAAAAATAAACCAGTCGCCCATGAGACTCCGATGTCAACACTTGTTTTCGACGCTTAATTAACTCCGAACACTACATTCCTCTCCATTAGACAGCGGGATGAGGTGTGTGGGGGAAAAGGA